GTGGAGGGCAGAATAGCCCCCAAAGGTGTCATGCCATAATTCCTAGAATCTGGAGACGGGTTAAGTTGTATGGCAAAAAGAACTTTTGACCTTTAATTGAAGTTACAGACCTTAAACTATGGAGACTGGACTGTCTTGGCTAAACCAACCTAATCAGAGAGCCCTTGAAAGTAGGGTTATGGTTAGAATCAGAGAGATGTGGCTGAGGTTAAAATTCTGAGAGAGACTCAACCCAGAATGCTGGAGGGTGGAGGCGTGGAAAGTGTGGGGAGGAAGGAGGGAGCCTCCAGGAGCAAAGAGCAGCCTCTGACTGATAGTCAGTGAGGAAACGGGACCTCCATACTACAGCTGCAAGAAGCGGAATCTGGCCAATAACCTAGAAATAGATTCATCCTTAGAGCCTTTGTAAAGTAGCGCAGCCCCGCTGACACCTTGATTTTGGCCTTGTGAGACTCTGGGCAGTGGACCCAGCTGAGCCAGGCTCTGCCAGAACTTCTTACCTACAGAACTATCAGATAACAAATAGGTGTGTTGTTTTAAGCCACTGAATCTGTAGTAATCGCTCATGGCAGCAATAGAAAACTAATACGGGGAATAAGAAAGTTGGCCAGGCTGATACTTGGGAAAAGAATCTTTCAGGCAGAGAGAACAATGAGAGCCAAGTTCTAACATGAGGTCCACTTGGGATAGTAGAGACGGAGCAGGTGACGAGTGTGGCTGGAATGAAGAGAGCAAGGGGATGAGTAGTTGGAGCTGAGGTCAGAGAGGCAACTGGAGTGGAGGGTGGAGACCGTAAAGAGCTTTGGCTATCATTCCAGTGAACCATGGAATCATTGCACCATTTTGATCAGAAAAGTGATATGATTTGACTTAATTATTAAGATCATTCTAGCTCCTCTGATGGTAGACTGTAGGGAAGAAGCCAGGAGACCAGTTAGGAAGGCAATAATAGAAAACTCTGACACAAGATGGTGGTGGCTTAGACCAGTGTTAGTGGGGACGACGAGAAATGGTCAGATTCTAGGTATATTTTGAAGATAAAGTCTATTTCTTTTTTTTTTTTTAAGATTTTATTTATTTATTTGACAGAGATCACAAGTAGGCAGAGAGGCAGGCAGAGAGAGGAGGAAGCAGGCTCCCCACGGAGCAGAGAGCCCGATGCGGGGCTCGATCCCAGGATCCTGAGATCATGACCTGAGCCGAAGGCAGAGGCTTTAACCCACTGAGCCACCCAGGCGCCCCGATAAAGTCTATTTCTTTGTGACTTAGATGTGAGATCTGAGGAAGAGAAAGTAATCAAAGATGACTCTGTAATCTGGAACCTGTTAATAGGAAAGATGAAAGTGCTATACTGGAAAGCTGAGGGTGAAGGAGATCTGGGGTGGAGGGAGGAATTAGTGTTCAGTTGGAGCACACCAAGGATAGGTTGTCTGCTAGACATCCAGTAGAAGATGCATAGTTTGGTAGCAGAATAATGACTTCGAAAGATGTCCACAGCCTAACCCCCAGAATTTATGAATATGTCTCTTTAGGTAGCAAGAGGGACTTTGCAAGTGTGATTAAGTTAGGATCTTGAGATGGAGAGACTTTTCTGGATTATCTGGATAGGTCTTTTTTGTTCTCTCTGACCTCTTGGTATTGCAGTAGCAAAGCACACCGAGTGACCAAGCAAGAAGGCAAAGGGCAAATGAAGAGAGGTCAGTGTCATGGAAAGCAAGTGAAGAAAGTATATCAAGGAGGAGGTAGTGGTTGCTTATGACAAAGCCCACTGATGGGTTAGTGAGATGAAGAGTGTGGCAGTGCTCATGAAAAGCTGAGCTGCCAAGGAGAGGAGCTGATAAGGATGGTCTGAGGACATGGGTTGGGTGACTGCTTCAGTTGGAGAATGGTGAGTTCTTTGTGGTGCCTGGGGAGAAGGCAGAGAGTGCAGGGTGGGGGAAATGCAGTGGGAGTGCGTGGGCATTCTCTTCAGATGCGTCCATTTTCTCAGAGGAATAGGAAGTTGATGAGAATGAGGATGGGGAGGGTGGTTTGGGTGACTTAACAGAAGTGTTATTAATATTCCTAAATCATTGAATATGTCACATTTTACTAAGTCAAAGTTACATGCTATCCTAGCCTGGGTTCCTCTGAATATCAGAATGTGGACAAGTTTATGGACAATTCATTTATTCTGAGGAGTAATCCCAAAGAACCCAATTTGAGCCTGGGAAGAGTTAACAGGGAGAGAAGGAAACCCAGTTTAAGGTTCATTCAGCAACTTGATCACCGCTGTGGGCAGCTGGGGCGTGATATCACAGGGGACTGGCAGCCCAAGAATGTACCTCAGAATTGTCCAGCGGAGAGACAGGGAGATGGAGGGGTAATTCATTTTCCTGTGCTTGCTCCTGTCCCCTGCGGGTCCGGTGCTTGCCCACCAGGTGTGGAGTCCATCACAGGACCATGCCCGTGTCAGAATGCTCAGCAGGTCCCTACGGATGAGATGAGTTCCATGAGGGTGGCTTGACGGCAGTATCCCCAGGACCACATGGAAGGAGCTAAGACTCTACTTCTTGGGTACATGGTTTCCATCATTCATCTTCTTGTCCACTTTTTCCATGCTTTGTGGCTCATCTTGCCCGGTGAAGCCCTCGCCTAGATGAGGAGCTTCTGGGGCTTTGGGGTTCACTGGTGGACAAGCTGCAGTCCCTGCCTTCGAGTCTCACAGTCTGTTGAGTAGCTCCCAGGTTCTTTTTATTCAGGTTCTTTTACCCTGTGTGGGAGGTGGAGCCCCACGGAATCCTTTTGAAACAGAAAAATCGCATGATATGATTTCTGTATTAGAAGTGGACAAGGGAGTTGATAAGCAGAATTCTGGTTATCTAATGCTGAGTGACAAGCCACCCCCAAACTTAATGATCTAAAACAACAATCATCTATAACTCTCACAGTTTCTTTGTGGTGGGAACTTAGAATCTGGTTAGATGTGTGGTCTCTCTTCATTCCACTCGGCATCAGGAGGGAAGGCTCAAGGGCTGGGGGCTGGGGGCTGGGGTCGACTTAAGGTTTGCTCTCTTATGTGGTGCCTGGTCTGGGACACTTGGGCTCCTCGAACGTGCTCTTCACTCTGTGAGACCTCCCCGTGTGGTCTCTCCAGCAGAGGCGTCAAGGGAGCCAGATTTGTTACTGGCCACTGGGGGCTCTCAAGACGCACGTCCCCAAAGAGAAAGAACCAGAGGAAAGCTGTATCACCTTTTATGACCTAGTCTTATGAGTCCCACTGGATCACGTCTGCCTAGTCACAGGCCTGCCCGGATTCAAAAAGAAGGGCCACAGACCCACCTCCGGCTGGACCAGCACCATCCTGTAAATAGAGCATGTGGGAGCATGTAAATGAACATGTGTGTTGGTGCTGCATTTTAGGAAGTAAAGTCTCACGGACAGTATTATCATCACCATGACTGCTGGCATTTCGTGGGAGCTGACTAAGGTCCGGGCACTGTGCTAAGTGCTGGAGGTATTCTATTCTTTAACTCCGGATTTGTAAGGTAGCCCCCTTTTTACAATGAAATAGTGAGACTCAGTGAGGTCAAATGACTGGTATAAGCTCACAAAGAATTTCTAAATTTAGTGATAAAAGGGCAAATAGTTGTAAAGAGTATGTAGGAGCCTTACTTCCAGAGGGAAACTTGAACCATGAATCCCTTGAGGGACTCCTCCTTCAGCAGTTCCTGCACGGTTTTCCACCACCCCCATTCCCTCCTCCCACTTCCCCCCTCCCTCCAGTATCAGCCTCTTTTCAATTTGTTCATTAAATTCCAGTGATATTTTCCTACACCTTTTTTGTGCATGCAAATCATTTCAGTTATGTTTTGAGTCTACAGATCGATCCCAAAACATAAGTACTATGAAAAGGCGCACAAACTGATTAAAAAAAAAAAAAATTCCCAGGTCATAAATTATTGGTATGTTGAAAACTTCTTTATGTAAAAAGGACACATTTTCTTAAACCAGTGAATCTCAAACATTTTTGCAATCCTGACAGGTTGGAAACTCTAGTATAACTTGGAAATACTACCCTCCCCACCCCATCTCTCCCTGCCCCTCCCCCCAGCCACTTCTTCTCTCCTGCCTTGAGACTGGCCAGCCTATAGCACCCAGAAAGCCAGTAGCTCTGATATCCTATTCACTTTAAACCTCGTCATTGAACATCTCATAAACACTACCGCTCTCTATGTGTTTAATGAAGGAGTTCCATAAATGTAAAACTTCCCAAACTGCTGATGCTTCTGTCATCTTCTGCATCTAGGCATCCAGTTTTTAGAAATTAGAAACATATTTGGTTTTAGAGCCTTGCCTAGGTGCTTAAAAGAGCTAATAAATAATCATTGTTATTTTGGCTTTACAGGACTAATTTAAACCCACACCTTCCAAGGAAGCAGAAACATTATTCTTTTTGTCTAGATTCACATTGCCATTTAGAAAAGAGTTCTTCAGAGGAACCTGGGTAGCTTAGCCAGTTAAGTGTCTGACTCTTGATTTTGGCTCAGGTCTCTGGGTTGTGGGATTGAACCCTGCATCGGGCTTTACACTCAGTGGGAAATCTGCTTTAACTTCTCTCTCCCTCTCCCCCTCCTCATGCTTGCATTCTCTCTCTCTCTCTCTCAAATAAATAAATAAATCTTGAAAGGAAGAAAGAAAGAAAGAAAAGGAAGAATTTTTCAAGTTCTTCTCAAGATGATCCATTCATTCATTCAGTAGATATTGATTATGAAACACCAGACACTGGGTGTGGCCATGGCTAGGCGAGTCTACAATAGTGAATCAAAGCGACAAAACTTGTCTGTCCTCATGGAGCTCGCATTCTAGTGGGTTGAGATAGCCAATAAATACACAACACATAATCTGTCAGAGAGTGAGAAATGCTGTGGAGAAAAATCAGTCCACAGAAGTGTCAGAGTATATCCCTGTACCTAGTCATGTTTCCATCTTTCCCATCTTCCCCAAGTAGAAGGACTTACAGCAGCCCAGAAAGCCCTGTGTGATGTGGCCTCTCTTCTCCCTGACCGCAGCCCCTTCTCCATTCCGGGTCTCCTTGGCCTCCTTGCTGCTCTTGGGCATTGCATCATTCCCGTTGGTGGCCTTTCCATGTCTCTGTTCACCGCCGCTCTCCCTTCAGAAAACCATAAGACAAACTCCTCATCTCTTTTTGGTCTTTGCTTAATGTCACCTTCTTGTTAATTTCTTTCCTCGTTTTTAAATGTTAGTCACTCTCCTGATCCACTGCTTGCAGTGCTGCCTCTCCCAGAGGTCACAGCCCAGCGGAGGAGGTGATGCCACCAGCCAGGCACCATCCGAAGCAGAACAACATTGTAGGCTTCCTCTCCAGAGGCAGGTCTACCTGTGGTTGGAGAGCCCTCGGACTTTCAGTGTCGTTGGGAGAATTTTCAGTAAAGGCCCTGCGTGGGGTCAGCACTGCGGGCTGTCCCAGGCTTCTCCAGTAGCATCGATCCAACCCTGAGCTTAATTAGCAGGAATTCCCAGGGTGGCACTTGCCTTTGTCATGCCGTGGCATCGTCCTTCTTAGGGACTGGATGTAGTCTTTTGCAGTAGAGGGCCCTCTTGTAGATGGATTCTTTCTCCCCCGTGATTTTTGCCTGGGTGTGTTTGGTGTGTTTAGTCTGCTTCTCCTCCTTGGCAAGGCCATTCTTGTTTTGCTTCTCCCTCTCATTACCCACTGTGACTGCCTCTTCTAAGTCCTCTGCTTCGATTTCACTGACTATGCTGACCTTTTATATATTTCTTGTTTCTGTTCAGAAACCAAAACTGCATCTCGTACATGGCTGGCTTATATCTGCCTCATTCCCATTTTATTAAAAAAAAAGAAAAAAAAAAGACAAAAAACCTATTTTTACACCTTGTCTCTACCGCATCTTTACAGCATTAACAAGAACATCCCTGCTTCCACAGGCCGTTCAAGAGTTTATGACTAAACAACATTTGAAATGTGATTTTTGTCATGGGTTGGGTTTCCAGGGAGGCCAACCCTCAGGTGTAGTTTAGCGTTCAGCACGTTTGTTAGGGGGTGGGAGGGAAGTAAGGGGAAAAAGAACTTGAATTTTGGTACAGGCCCAGCAATGACCTTGGTCAGCCCCCCAGGTGTCTCTGCAGTTATAATGGCTCTTCAGAGTTGTCTTGACTTGCACTGGAATAGTCAGGCCTTTACCCTCCAGCAGCCCTCAGTCATTGCCTGTTGGCCACCTTGGGAAAGTGTGTGACCTTGAGCAAAAAGAGCCTCTGCATCAGAGATCATCCCTGTAGAAGCGCCAACAACAGCCCCAGCAAGTGTGGCAAGAGGGGGATCTGGGCAGTGCCTCTCAGCGTCTTCCACGTTAATGCAGGTGCCAGGCAGCGACAGCTCCGAGCAATGATGCAGTGCTTTCGGTATGAAGTAACCTCCATTGTCACTTTTAGTTTGTGATCAAAATTTGCTTCATTTCACTGAAAGCATAGGCTGTTGGAGCCTGAAGAGGCCGTAGAGAACCTCTGTCCAGCCCTCTTATTCAGTGGATGGAGAAATGGAGTAATAAGGAGAGGAAATCTCAGTTTGGTTTCCCCAGAAACAGACCTTAAGACAAGGATTTGAAGAGTAAATGGTTCATATGAGAGCTTCTCCCCCAGAAATATTAGCCAAGAAGTGGGCAAGTGTTACAGGGAAGAGAAGGAAGCCAGCAGAGTTGTATTTGCAAAAGGATTACTTCTGTGGGTTCCTGGAGCTCAGTCCCTTGGGGGAACTCAGGAAAACAGTGCACATACTTCAAAGTTGCCCTCTCCAAAGGGCAGAGTAGCTGGCGTATTTGCCCAGTGGCTTTCCCCATCCATCCTTGGCTGAGGGCAATTTCCTGGAGGCACTAACTTCTCTGCATTCCCAGCTCGCTCAGGCAAGGGCCCAGCCTGTTCCCAGAGCCAGAGTAGAAGCCGCAGGTGCTCACAGAAGGCTGCCTGCCCCACGGAGAGGTGAGCCCAGAAGGACGTAGGAGGGAGTGGGAGGCAGAAAGAGCAGGGATCTAGTCCCTCCTTCTGAGAAACAGTCTGATTGGCAAGCCAAGCACACATGCAGGCCTGAAAGAGCACAGCAGTTCACAGGCATTTGTAGCAGTTTGTGGGGACCATCCTGTATTCCAAGCCGTGCATTGCACGTGTTAGTGCCCAGGCGCTGCTAAAGGGCTGCCTCAGAAGAGGTTTTTTTGTTTTGTTTTTCATTTTTAAGAACAATTCTCAGTCAGAATTTTGAACATGGATTGATGTGGCCTGAGGGGTAGGGTAGCATACCGGTGATGAGTTGGGTGCCTTTGGAGAGGGCCATCTGGTTTTTCATCCTGCTTCCATCACTCAGTGGTCATTGGATGGTGGGCACGTGAAGCCTCAGTCTCCTCCTTCTCTTAAAAATGGGGATAGTCATGGAACACATAGGAGTGTTGAGAGCACTCATGAAGTAACTGATGTAAAAACACTGAACTGAGAACCTGCCACGTGGAAGGAGTTTGATAAACGTTAGCAGTGGTCATGATTCTTGTTGCCAGAGAATGGTAAGGTAAGGTCAAGCGGGAAAAATTAGGGCATGAGATTCAAGAATCTAGAAGAGGAATGCTGTGAAGTACGACCTCTGGGATGCTGGGGGAAGTGAAGGGAAAGGCTTGATAAAGTCAAAAAGGGCTGCCCACTCAGACCAAGTTCTCATGGGAGCCTGGGTCCAATCAGAATGAAAGTTTTTGGGGAAACCCAATATGTAAAAAGTATAAACAGAGCTGCTTGTTTGAAGGTGGAGTGGGGAAGCAGGGTCCTGTGTTCTCCCCTCCTCCCTCAACCACCCACAACCCCTGAGGGAATTCTGAGAAACCCCAAAGCTGTGAGAACAAAAACAATTTCTAAAGAAGGATTTTAAAAAGCTACTGTAACACCTCATTTGTTCTGTATTGAGTTAGTTTTCCAGAAAAACATTTTTTTAGAAACTCATCTTGGTTGAAATTTTGTTTCAGTGTGTTACTTTTTTGCCTTCTTAACAAGGCTGAATGAAAACCTTTTAATTTGTTCTTGATGATTTTTGATTATAGTAATGAACATTTAGTTACAGATCTGTGCTTTAATGTGGTGATTTCCAACCTCAGAGGTTCTGAAGAGTTAGGACTGTTTACTTACTTATATTGTGCTTTTTTAATTGTTACAAGAAGTAGCATGGCTTCAGGGAGGGTCTTGGAATTGGGAGCCAGACTATCCAGGTTTGTCCTTCAGTCTGGCATCTTATTAGCATAATGACCTTGGGCAAGTACTTAACCTCTCTTTGCCTCAGTTTCTTCTTCTATAAATTTGGAACAATCATTCTACTTACCTGGTAGGGTTATTGTGAGAAATAGATAAATTTTGTTCTCTCGATGCTTAGAATAGTGCCTGCATATAAAAAGTGTCATATAAGTGCTGTTGTAATAATAAGGAAGATGATGATTTTTTCTGTTTTTATAATTCTTCCGTCGTCGTCTTTGACGTAAGCCTATGGGCTCTCAAGCTAACCAACATGGACTCCCACCACCACTGTGATCTGGGGAAAATTCACTAGTGCTCTGTGATTCAGTTTACTCATCTGAAGAGTGGGACTAATAATACAAACTAGTTACAGGATTGTTGTGAGGATTAAATAGGATAAAATTTGTAAAGCCCTCAAAACAGTATTTGGAACATCGTGTCATAGTCATCATTATTATTAATTATTAAGGTTCTAGATGAAGGATACCATAACAGTACTGTAGTATAGAGCCAGAAGTTTTTACTATATTACTCCTTTAAAGCCTTAGAAGAAGGTTCCTTCTTGTTACTTCATTGGTTTTCAGTGAGTAGAGGTTTGTTGTTGTTGTTGTTGTTGTTGTTGTTGTTTTTTGAAGATTTTACTTATTTGACACAGAGAGAGAGAGAGAGAGCACAAGGAGGGGAGCAGCAGAGGGAGATGAAGTAGCGGGCTCCCCGCTGAGCAAGGAGCCCAAAATGTGGGGCTCGATTCCGGGACCCCGAGATCATGACCTGAGCTGAAGGCAGACGCTTAACTGACTGAGCCACCCAGGAGCCCCTAGCGATTGTTAATCTTACTTAAACAATAAACATTTTCAATGTGCTTCTTAACATTGGAGTAAGGAGTGGATGGGCAGAGGGATTAACCATTGATGCTATGTAATACAGTGTTTATTATCAAACACTGACTCAGAACTTTTAGATATCTTTGTGTGGAAGGAATTAGATATTTTTTGATTAAAAGGTTGACATAATTAGTATTCATACAAAGGGATACTGTCAAAGGAAGAAAAACAGTAAAGAACTGTGTTGGTAGAAATGACTAGAAGCAACACAGGGTAGGCAGCAGATTTTCTGATATAGAAGAGAGACCAAACATGTGATAAAAAGTAGGCAAACAGTGATTTTGTGGGGAGAATGTTCAGCCACCAGCCACCAGTGTACCCCTTGATACTCAACATTTTAAGAGCTAAATTAGATCTGCAGATCATGCCACTATCGAGACTAACCCATTGCACGAGGATTCTGTAATGCCAAAATTTTACTGCATAAGTGTTAAGAAAAATTAGCCAGTGCTGGAGAATAAGGCACAAGGATGATTGCATGTCCTTGCAGTGTTCTGCTGGAGCATGGTCAGACATACCCAGCCAAGGACCACATAATTCTCTAGGGAAATGTTATTTTCTTTAACTTACTAGTTGCTATTGATCAAGACCCAGATTTTATAAAGTTAGATGTTAATTGTAGATAACTTGCAAATTACTTGGCTCTGGTGGAGAAGATAACCCCAAAGTTTAGAGTTTCAGTGACCTATAGGACCAGTTTTATATCTGAACTATTTTTAAGCTTAATGTGTTCTTTCATAGACTATACATACTTCAGTCTTTCCTATTCTTACTGAACCAGATGTATCGTCCTGCTGGTTTTCTCCTTAATGATTTAAATAAATATTGGACATGTGCTTAATTTATATTTATGTAAGAGTCACGTCTTTAACTTCTTCAAAACTATATCCCAACAAACAACCTACCTGTTAATGGAAATTTCCTTTCCTACTGTTTGCTACTTCCCCTAACATTTTTATTTTTCATTGTAATTTCAAAATCGGGATAT